TGCTGTAAGTGTCACGATACGATAACTATTCAAAATTTCAACACACTACACTTCTATTTCATAATCTGTGCTTGTTTTCTATGCACAGGTACCCAGGAAAATGGGAATATTGCGAACAGTGGATAGTGGAAACAGTCTCACAACTGATGTCATTGTGCAGAGGATCATTAAAAACAGGTGTTACATTAAGCTCTGGGCCCGGTTGCATGAAAGCACTTATGCTAAGAAATCCCTTAGTTATAAGGTTAAGGGAGCCCTTAGCGAAACTTGGGCTGCGAGAAAAAAACCTAAGGGTCAACTTAAGGAACCTTAAGGCTGCCATAAAATATTCCCTTTAATTATTTAAATGTTCCCTTAAGTGTTGCTACAAAGTCCTTAGTAGCCATTTCACCTTAATAAATTTAAGGGACCAAAAGAGCTTCCTTAAATCATCTTAAACTCAGCATCTGCAAGATTTTAAGCTCAAAATGTAAGACTTTAGACATGTTTTAAGACCTGCACAAATAAAATATCATATGAGCTCAGTAGGACAATGACTATGGTAACATATTAAACTGTAAAATGACTGTAAAAAGCATGACTTACAGGTTTTCACAAAACAAAGTTTTATATACATTTTTAAGTAAATGGACGAGTTGTTAATCTAAACAATTATTATTAATCAATTATTACATTAATTAAATAACAATATAAATATAACTTGTCTTAATTGTTTCAATTTTTATAATGCATTATCTTCTTGTCGATCCACCTGTTCACATTTACAACTGCGTGTTTGCAGCGTCAAAACATTGGTTACTTTTCACATTTGGTAAATTTTCCGTCATTGCAATGTGAAGGATATGAGGTGCTTTCACTGCAGAAACAAAGCGGTTTCCTCAGTAACGACTGTACACAAAGCAGCACAGAAACGGGCAGCGCTCATATTTATTTAATGTTTGTCTGTGTTTTAGTTGGTTAGGTTTGTATTTCATTATGTTCTGTTTATTGCCATAGATATGTATACATATCTATGTTTATTGTGAGATGTAGTAACTATAGCAACCATGGCGCCCATTGCTGTATGTTGCCAGAAACTACCGTGAAACGCTTAGTATAAACACTTAGGTAAGGGTGACAGTTAAGACGTTTGTTGCAACGCTCTTAAAGAAATCCCTTACCTCAGGGATTTTTTCCCCCTCAGGGATACTCCTAAGTCAAATTACTTAAGGACTTTCATGTAACCGGGCCCTGACCTGTTAACATGCAGGAGGTCACTGGTGACTGGTTTACTGTCATTTGCAGCATTGACTTAATCAATGCATAGGGTACAATGGGGGTAAATGTGCACTGGTATAAAAGGCTCCTTTGACTTCATTCTCCTATAAACCTCTTGATGGCACAACACACAATGCACATGGAAATTTTACTGATACTTGCCACCAAAGCGCACAGCATTGCAAAGTTGATTCTGCCTAATTTGATATATATTTTTAAAGATTTAAGTAGCAACGTTAATTGATAAAATTATTGTCTTGCCTACTTTGAGACAAATGTCTTATTAATGATTGTTCAAGGTAATTAAAGCCATTTTCAAATAACTGAAGAGTATGTAAAAGGGTGTGCTTGTGGCTGTGCAATTTAGAGATAATCACCAAATTTATAATGAAACAATATTGAAAAATATATTAATCACATCATATAATAAAATATTTTATTTATTGTCAATAATGTAAAGCCATATTATGGAATTTCCTTCAAATCTACAAAATATACAGAAAATGGTCTCTAAAAGGCCTCTAACACTAGCTTGCGCTATTATTTTTCTATTCTATTCTATCGTTTTCTTTTTATTTGTTATATAATAAAAAAAAAACTTGCTACATGTACTGCGTTAGGCTAACTGAGACTTGTCATAGCACTTGCATATAATTGCTATTTTGTTGATTTTGATTGCTTCCATTGTTCTCGTTTGTAAGTCGCTTTGGATAAAAGCATCTGCTAAATGGCTAAATGTAAATGTAAAATAGTACAAACTTTGCTAAAGCAGTTTTAGCAAAATTGTTGTATCCTACGTATTAAATTTGTAAAAAAAATTAAAAATAAATGCATATCAATAGAAAGTCTTCAAACTTGCATTTAAAAATATGACCACTGTTTTATCATATTGGATGAATTTTGTACGTCATTTCCTGGTTTGTGACCCAAAGTGGAGGCGCAGGTTAACAAGAATGTTCCAGTTTTCAAAACAAGTTAAGCTATTGTGACAGCATCTGTCAAGTGCTGCTGCAACTAAATTTAATTTCAACTAATTTCTAAGTGTCAATATATCAACTGGAAACATATTTAATGCACTTACAATAGTAATCCATGCATGGGTCAAGACATTCTGGAGGGTTTAAAAGCAGATATTTGTAGCTCACATTTTGGTAATAATAATAATAATTATTATTATTATTATTATAATTCAAAGTCAGGCTTGATTAATTCTGTGAGTGAAAATGTTCAATAACAATAAAGTAATATTGGGCTGGTCACACCTGAGGTGACCTTTAAATCTAAAAAAAATCCTTCAGTAGTTATTTTACAGTAAGTTGTAATGGACAATCACGGTCAGGAATGATCAATGCAATGCTCACATTATTCCTTCCTGTGCCTGCCAGGCTGCTGTTTGAGGCGAGAAACCAGAAAAAAGAGGCCAAAGAGATGGCGGTAATCCAGGCCATGAAGCGACGAGAAGAAGACAAGGCTAAAGAGAGAGCGCAGGCTGTGCTGTAGGGAAGAAGAAAAAAACATCATCAAAGACTAACAAAACAGTCAATGCAGTTGACTCTTTTCTAATGTGTCCACATTCTGGACTTACACACTGTCAGAACACCAGCAGCTGAGAGCTCCTTTTATTGAAGAATTAGCATGTGTTGTCTTGGGAGCATCTGCTTTTGTGAATCACTCTCGCACTCTCCACCTGAAGGACCTCTTCATCATTTCCTGACAGCAGTGGGCCATTTCCATCAGATCTATTCACTAAGGAAAGAAGGAGGCTGGAACTTGTGCTGCACTTTGCTGTGTGCAGGATGTTGCCACTTTGGTGACCAACATGGCCTACGTGACCTTTATCTTCACATGTAACTCCAGAGCTATTCTAAGCTTTGCTTGGAAACCAACACTCCTGAATATTTGAATCCATCAGAAGAGCACTACAGTCTTCTGTCCTAAAACAGTGTATTAATTATAAATAATTAATATTTATCTGTCATTATTAATGGCTAATCCTCATATGAAGTATTTTTCATTGTAATGTACAACAAAGTGAATTGTTCTATTAAAAAATATATGAAAATAATAGTTAAGATATGGTGTTCATAAAACATGCATTTTAATATGGCATACTTTATTGGCATACTTTAATATGGTACTTTATTTTCCCAAACTTCTTCTGTTAAACAAGAGTTTTGTGTGAGCAAACAGCATGAAATGTCAGTCTTATTTACTGATAATTGTTACTGCCACAGTTCTCAAAATTAATTTGTGGACAAATGAATTTAAACTTGCCATTTCACTAGTGGACATGCTAACCAGTTGTCAGGTGCAACACATGAAAATGTCATGTTCACTATTCACTTTTGTTTTTGGGAAAATAGCACTTCACACTGTGCATAACATCTCCTTCTGTAATTCACGGAATAATTGAAATATTGGCTTAGAAGTACGTCAAATTTTTATTTTGTGGTGAAATATTCCTTTAAACTAAGATGTTTAAAGTTTCTGTTTTAAATAGATTTAAAATTAAATTATACTAGCTCTTATTTTATTTAGAATGATTTTAGAAGACAATTTCAGATCAGCATGTTAAGATGGGCCACATTATATATGAGGACAGGCATACACTCCTTTACAGTCCGCATATATAGATAGTTTTGAGTTTGTTTCTTATGTATGTGTGTATGCCATACCCAGAACTTGTGCAGAATGAGCTATCAAATATAGCCACAAGAGGTCTTCTTATCTGTGGAAATCTGTGTAAAATTCATAGAAACCACAATGGACTGAAACCAACTAACCCTGATTTGATGTGCTGTGATATATAATGTGTATAATTATAAGCAATGTTTTAAACAAGAAACCTCAATCATGGTACTAACTACTGTCTAAATATAATGGTTTCAGGGATTATAGTATTTTAAGATACTAAAACATTGACATTGAACTGACTTACATTGTTTTTTTCATGTATTATTTTTTTTAATTATATAAAAAATATAAAATATAAAAGGTTGTTATTTTTTTAAATAGTATAACCCTCTTTTTGCTAACAGTCTCAAATTAGTCAACTTGAAAGATACTGGAACTTCATTTTTAATTGAACAATTATTAAAGGTGCTGTCTGGTTTAGGAAATCAAATGAAAAGTTTTTTTTTTATTCCTGATAACAATACAGGAATAAATAATATGGGATCATAATAATTAATGATCCCATGTTATTTATTCCTGTATTGTTATATCAGATAGATGTGTGTTCTTCAAGGGCATGCTTGTATGATTTGTATTTTTTTTTTTGTCCTTGCAAATATAATACTGTGAAATACAAAACATTTTCATAATTGTTTACATATATCATCCTCATCAATAACTACATCATGGTGTATTACTTTTTATTTGTTTGCAAAAATTCAAATGCTAATCATTTGGATAGGTAGGACACTGCAGATTTTTAATCTCCTAATCTCCTTGTCTAGTTTTATAGGATTAAATTATTAAGATTTATACGAATAAATCCACACACAAAATGCAAAGAAATAAAAAAAATATCTAAGAGATCACGTCTGCCTGAATAAATATTTAACTATTTGTAGTCTATTTTTTTTTTTACCATTTGGATAAATATAGCCTAACAAAGGAAGCAAATTCTAGGACTATTATTTTTTAAAGCAATGCACTCTGTTAATTGTTTTATTGTAAGGTCTTGCGTCACCAATTAGAGGGCACATTTAATTATAAAGTCCCTATTATGTCCTATGACGTCACGTCCCTGAACCGCATATTGAACAGGTGTGTTGGGCGAGGGCTACCGCAAATATTGCGCGTTTTAAATACAATTTTAACTAGCCTATATAATAGTTTTAGAAATGTTTCGATGTTTTGACGTTTTAACATCCCTGCAGGTAAGTTACATATAAATGTGTACTTAAAAAGACAGTGCTGACTTGAGAAGTAGTTAATACATATAATGTTGTCGTTTGATCTCGTGGAGGCATGTATCGCGGCTGTGCAGACGTGCGTGAATCTGCGAAATGAAGAGAAAAGATCCTGCAATCAGCAGCATGCTCGAATTGAGCGTGAGACGCACGTGCACAGAGTCCTCATACTGGGTAATTCTTGAGTTGAGAGTTCTACACTGTTCTTATTTTGCCATAGAAACATGGTGGAAAATAAATCTATAAAAGTAACTGTTTATTTATCGAATTCCTGAATGTAAAACACCATTGAAATCTAGCATTGTATTTGTAGTTTCATGTCTGATTTCTGCAATATAAACTTCTCATATTTAATACTGCTGTGCAATATTTTATTCCAAACATATAGGTACTCCAGAGAGCGGCAAAAGCACATTAATCAAACAGATGAAGATCATCTACAGCCATGGCTTTACAAAACAAGAACTCATCAGCTTCAAGGTGCAGCATTGACTTACTTAATATGGGTTTTTGTCAGGCTTACTGCATTAGTTCTCAACATTAGAACTACATGAAGTGTTGGGGGAAGTTACTTTTAAAAGTAATGCATTACAATATTGCATTAATTTCCTCCCTTTAAAAGTAACTAATTATGTTATTCTTTTACGTTACATTAATTTTGCATTAATTTTTCTCACCTGGGCTGCACTTGCTAACAAAAAATTAATAACAATAACACTTATTTTAGCGGTAATTAAAAAAAAAAAAGTCACACAAATGATGTTTTTGCTTATTCGTATGGTTGAAATGAACCATCAAAGGTAAGCAGTGAGATGTTTGTGGAATATTCTGAGTTTGCATTTCACTGATTTCATTCATTTCTAGGAATACTGAATCATGTAAATCATGTTCACATTCAGTCTAGTACTTTTACTCCGCACACAAAGCCTCTGCACCTTATTTCTCTCAACATGCAAACAAGAGAGGTCTCAGTCAAGAAATTGGGAAACAAAGTAACTTGCATTATTTATTTGAAAGAGATTTTCAGATATTTTGTTGTGAATTTAGTTATGCATTAGTTAGTTGAAAAAAGTAATCTGATTACGCCATTTAAGTTACTTGTAATATGTTACCCCCAACACTGCACAGAAGTCCTTTTGAAAGTGAAAAAGTGAAAGTGACGTGACATGTGACCAAGTATGGTGACTCATACTCGGAATTAGTGCTCTGCACACAGCAGTGAACACACACACACCGTGAACACACACTCGGAGCAGTGGGCAGCCATTTTTGCTGCGGCGCCCGGGGAGCAGTTGGGGGTTTGGTGCCTTGCTCAAGGGCACCCCAGCCGTGGTATTGAAGGTGGGAGAGAGCGCTGTACATTCACCCCCCCCACCTACAATCCCTGCCGGTACGAGACTCGAACCCGCAACCTTTGGGTTACGAGTCCGACTCTAACCATTAGGCCACGACTTCCCAACTTGTTCCATATTATTACATATTTCTTGTAAGGATACAAGTAAAAACATACACTGCATCATTTGTTGTCTTGAAGCAGCAGATTCAAGTATTAGTACTTAAGTATTAGGTACGATACAATACTTATAGATGCAATATGAGGATACTTTAGTATTTCATTGTCAGGCATTTCTTTCTGTAAGAGAAAGTTAGACAGTGTCACCTAAAAAAAAATGTATTTAAAAAATCTAAATAAAACACTAGTACTAAATATGAGGTTAAATGGTGTATAATATGTTTCAGAATGAGCTTTATAAGGTGTGCACAAGCAAAATCCTTTAACTCATTGTTCAGTGTTCTCATTAAACCCTTAACTTTTTCTTGGAAGATATGTAAACATCAAATAAGAGCACGGGCTGCAACATGAATTTATATATATACTACACCACATGCCATTCTTTATTGCCCTATAGTAAAGCTCACATTATACATCCATAAAAAAATGAAAATGACATACAGGTTAGAAAGAACAGCTGTGTTTTGAGCTGTTCTTCCTCAGCTGTATTTTGATTCACTTCATATTTAAAGGAAAAAACAGTTGTTTTAAATGAGTAATAATGAACAGTGACTTAATGAGAAATACAGTAACTTTAAGCTAATTGTGTCTAAAGCACAGTAAAGTAAATGCATCTAATTAAAGACAGAAAATACACAATCTTTAAACATGAACCATTCATAATACAATAAATCCATGTTTAACAGCCATGTTTTGTGCTTTACTGAAAAGTAAGTGTCATGGCTTGTACGATATGAATTATAAACAGTATTGGGCTATGCTGTAAGTTACAGTGCTACAACATTAGTGCATCACTATTAGCACACTGCATGTTTTACTATTCTCCAAATGGTTAGTGTGTAATTATTTGGTTTCTTCTAAATGTACAGCCTGCTGTGTTGGATAACCTGCTGACAAATATGAAGTTTGTGCTGCATGGCATGGGAATGCTGCGCATTAATTTGTCAAACAAGAAAAACAAGGTGAGTTATGCAGACTATTCTATCCTTTTCATTATGATGTGCATGGCAGTTCCATTATACCCAAATTGGGATTCATTGTGAAAAGACCTCTTTCTGTTTTCTGTCTCAAAACTAAACAGGATTACAGTGACATTAAAACAAATTTCTGTACATGCACACGACACCAAATTGGCTTATTTGTATCTCACCTCTACACTGTATATCTATACCTAAAAACTTTCTAACCTCTAATATTATGCATAATATCTTGGGAAAATATTGTGTAGTTATAATATAGAATATTATAAAAACAAACCGCTAGGTAGGTAGGACCAGGTATGTGCTGTGACCTTTGAGACCGAGCAAGAGTTTTAATACACATTATAATGTGCCCAAAACAAACTTTATGGGTGAATTTAATGTCGTGAAAGTGTTATTGAACAGGCAAGGTCACAAATAAATAGATTCTTGGGACAGAAATACCCTTTTATTTTATTTATTTTATTTTTTCCCAACTCTTATTATTCTGCTTTTTTGTTTGTTTTATTCATGATCCAATTTAAATTTATCTCTAACCTTACGACCAGACCATTTTCTTGACAGACGTTTTGACCGATTCAACCACAGGTCGTTCAGATTCTTTGCTATGTTCTTATAGGCCCATGCACGTGCCATATTGTCATGTAAGTGTTGTGTAGGAGAGGATATGGAGCTGCTGCCATTTGTGGCTCATTCATTCTGCAGTCTGTGGGGGGATCTGGGCATCAGGGCGGCAGTGGCCAGAGGCCACGAATTCCAGCTCAATGATTCTGCACTATAGTGAGTAATCACTTCTATGCCATTTGTATCATTGCATAATGAATCTATAGTTTCCTTTGAATGCCACTGATTGCTTCCCTGAAATTTACTGACATGATTGTCTTCCACCTCATGAAAGGTATACTACACATGAAAATTAAAATTCTTTCATCATTTACTCACCCTTATATCATCCTAGATATATGACTTTCTTCTGTGGAACACATGAAGAATTAGAAAATAGGACTCTCTGTGATTCCATATAATGCTACTGTTTGGGTCCCTCAAAGTTGATGCTTCCAAAAACCGCATAAAACAAACAGGACACTTCCGGCCAACTTTCAAATGAGGGTTCATGAGTTCACACTCAACATAAAGTCAGCATGTTGTGAGTGGGTGAACCACTGGACTGAATATTTTTTTGATATATATTTTAATTATGGGCATCTTTGATTTGTTACCTGCTTAGTTATAGTTTTAGTTATTATATAATAGTTTAAATTATATTTAGCTGGATGTTTTGCTTTGTACTATAACGTGTCTTATGTAAAAAAAGTGGATCTGGTCACGCATAACTTCTCACGCAAGTTAAATTTAAAATATTAAAATAGCCTTAAGTAATCACCAACTGAAGAGTTTGAGACCCATGATAAATTAGCTAGTCAGATGTTCTTTACCAACAATAATTATAGAGGCTGTATAGAATGTTACCTTTTTATTTGACAGGGACATCTGTCCTACCACTGGACTGAATAATCGTGAAGTATTTTCCTGCATCCTGATATGCCATATTAATAATGCCACATTTATTGCAGTAAAGTTCTCCCAATGGAGAGATGTTGAAGTGTATAATGTAATGTTTGTCCCTGGAAACGATGCAGTCATTGAAAACTCCATGTTCCTGTAGCAGTGTAACCAGTTTGTTAGTATTTGCATCATATGCAAATACAGCTAATTTCAGGGACAATTGCTTGTAATGCAGGAGATTTCAATTATGTTTGGGTTTGTCAATTAAAATTCTCATGAAAGCATCATTTGTTACATGAGAATAAATGATGTTGAAATTGATGAGGAGTGAAATACTACAATGAATGAGATCACGCATTGCATAGCTGTAAATTTACATGTTGATAAATGTATCAGTTGTAATGGCTATTTAGAGTCCTTGTGTTTGCGGGATGCTCCAACAATTTGCCATGTTTTACTACGTCTGTGGTCTCTCAACTTGGCCAATCACATAACTCAATCACTCTTTGATTATGCAAATAACTGCAGCATTGCTTTCCAGTCATTATCAGTGTGATTGTTTGTTTAGAAACAGCGAAAAATGTGTTTATGTGGGGAACATCGCCCAAAGGTATGGTAAAATAAAACAAACCTGATTCAGCAGTTAACTGAATGAAAGGTTATGGTAAGGTGCATACAGCAATCTCAGTCTCCAATGGTCAATGGCCATGTATAAAATAACCATCTACTGTAATACAAAGGATAATTGGCAATGACTTCTGCATCATGTTTAACCTAAGGAAAATGATAACATCAGAAGTTTCTCATCTCAAATCCCCGAATGAAAGATTTAAGGCTGGATAATCTTTTCAGCTTGCCATTTTGAACTATTAAAATACTGAATGTAATCTTCATGTTTGAACAAGTGGCTTGTTCTTTAATTTCCCGTTTGGTTTGATATAATTTTCCAAATTGCAAATAAAGAATGTCATGAGTGACTTATGTAGTGGTAGTGAGGATAGTTTATGAATGACAGTTGCAGGAGATTTAATACTGCTATCTGTATTATCTTCCATGTAACCATTGTAATTTTGAGGGAAAAAAATGGGCGTTTTTTGTGTGTAAAATTGAGCATTAAACATTTTGTGCTTTTTCCTCCGTTTTGTGTGCGCACAAATCTAGTTTTTTTGAGAACATAAGTCGCATCATCGCACCAAACTACATCCCCACTAAAACAGATGTCCTCAGAGTGCGAGTAAGGACTCATGGTGTCATCGAAACCCAGTTCAAAGTCAACAACTCGCTGTACAGGTAAACAGATTTCTGCAATGTTATCATAGCTAAACATGTTTGTGTGATTCTATGTCCATATTTTCATTATTGACTAAAGATGATGTTTAGCAGAGTGTTCATGTGGCTCCTTTCCATACAGTAAAATCACACAGTGACCAGGGTTTGTCAAGATTAAAAAAGGATAAAAATAAATATTTATGTACACCTGAATTTGATTTAAATGGAAGGCAGCACATTGTATATTTCCACTAACTCAGTCAAATGAGTTTAACCAGTTTTGACTTAATTTTTCTCGTATGAGATTCAGCTTGATTTTATTTAATTTCATCATACAAATAATTTGTTTATAAGTACTCCTTTGTTTATAGGCTATATGATGTGGGTGGTCATTGTTCAGAAAGAAAGAAGTGGTACAGTTATTTCGACAATGTCCAGGCAGTGCTGTTTATGGTGGCTCTTAGTGGGTATGATCAAAACCTTGATGAAAATCATTCCAAGGTGAGTAGCATACTTGATTTTTAGAGATCTTGTGCCCATATTACGGAAACTTTCTAACTCTAGAATGCTGTCTTATCTGTTCAAAAACCCAGATGATTTAGTTGGATCTTATTGTCAGAAAAGTTTGTGTAACAGGCTTTAGTTAAGGTCTGACAAATGAAATGAAATGCATGTAGATTGTGAAGCCTGTGGTGTACGTAGTGTAGTGCAAGCTTAGACAAGCTTAGAGTCAGCTAACCGCATAATTGTATGCATGTATGATTTGGGAATAGGACAGAGCCTTTCCACAATTTTGTCTATGCCCTGTGATGTTTTGCATGAATTATGTGAGTAACATTTCATTAAACAATCTGTGAAAGTTTCGCTATATGAATACAATAATGAACATTTTCAAAAACTAGGTGACATTCTACTTGCCCTTCAACCATCGAAGATCCCCTTTCTGTTAAACATTTTATTTACTGTCCAGCTTTTAATGTACAGAGAAAACTCTTTTATGAAGTGAGCTCACTTAAAGAGTTTAGTAAAATTTTGCCAGGAAAAATTTTATAATTTTTATCATGTTAATGTAAAAAATCATACAATAATGTAATGTATAAAAGTGTGATATAACTTGTTTATTTGCTGGTTTTTATTGTATTTTTTATACTTTTGCCATGTTTTTGCCATGAAAATAGCCTTTGATGCTGACATGGCATTAAATAAATATATACTATACTATACTATACTATCAACCATTGCAGATTAATAGGAAAGTTTAAAAAGTGCAAAAAGAGGAAAAGATGAAGTGGATTGAAAATTGCTCCTACCATATTCCTCATACCATGTCACACTAAAATACCAAGCATTACAAAATGTAACTTAACTTTTTTTTTTCTTCTTTTTTTTTTCTTTTTCTTTTTTTTTTTTTTTTTTAAAGTCAATGGGAACTGAAACTGTTTGGTTACCAACATTTTTTATATATCTTCTTTTATGTTCCACAGAGGAAAGAAAGTCATTCACACTGAATTTGAAAGTTGTAAATAAAATAAACATTAAGAACCGTCTCCATGAAAGCCTGGAGTACTTCAGATCCACATGTAACAGTGTGTTTTTCAGAGGAGCTTCTCTGGTGAGCTGGGTTTGTTTCAGGGCCTGTAAAATCGGTGTAATCTGACATTAGGGCTTTCACACTATATTTAATTCTGTTATTGTCATCTTTGATCTGAACTGGGGTTAAAAAAAGATGTTGTCTGCAAAGATGATGATGATTATTCATACTATTACGTGAAGCTTGATTGTATTTGTGCTTTTTATGAGTCCATTGAAAGAATCTGTTTCTAAGCCCCTCCCCTCCTCATAACCGCCCATAATTGTCTGCACTCATTGAGATTTAGTGTACACCTTACCTGCTTCATCACAAGTGCTGACCTCTCTTTACACCCATCATTCTGTACCACTTCAGTTATGCATTTCCATATGATGCTGTCTTTGTCCATTAGTTAATGCACCTATTAAAAATTGTCATGCAATAATTTTCAGAGTATTTACTAATTAATATAACAAACACTTTGTTCTGCAATAGACAAAAACAATAGGGATGAATTAATTGAAAGGGTTGAATGGCTTCAGATGTTTTTCATTTTCTTTTAACTTTGCTTTTGAATTAAATTTTCAGGTTTTATTTATGAACAAAATTGATCTGTTTGCTGAGAAAATACTGTATTCTGGGAGACACCTGCGACTTTATCAACCAGACTTCAAAGGTACTAACATTTTTTTACAGTCTTTTTGTTTGTTTATATCTGTGGAGCATAATTTTACTTTACAGGGTTTATAAATAAGCTTGCTGAAGTTACAAAGTATTCAATTAATGACCGTGTGTGTGTGTGTGTGTGTGTGTGTGTGTGTGTCAGGCTGTACAGTAATTAAAGACTGCAGATACTAATAATCAATTTTCTCTGGATACCTCACGTCACTCTTATAGAGCCATATGTTTAAGCATTGTCGCATAATTTCTGTGCAATTCCGTTTTTTTAACACATCCAGACACACAGGACTTCTTTAGACTGGCATTAGGCAAATCATTATAGTAGCTAAGGTAGAAGTGTCACTAATGTTTTTAAGGCAGGATTTAGCGAGTTCCTTATTTAAAACTGTACATGCTACATGTGTATACGGCATACTGTATGCAATAGTAGTATAAAAAATGCACAAGGCCGTTGTCTTTTTACCTTTTGAAATTATATTTGGTATAGTTTGAATATATTAAGGAACTGATTAATGTGTTTCTCTGTGTTGGGATGCAGGGTCTGACTGTGATGTGAGTTGTGCTGCTCAATATGTGACTGACCAGTTTGTGGCATGCGCTACCACCTCAGGCAAGATGGTGTACTCTCACTTCACCAATGCCACAGACCCCTCCAGCGTACATTATGCCTTCCAGCTCACCATGAGCACTATTGTTAAACATAACCTTCAAACAATCTCACTTCTCTAATTTTTTTTATATTCCCTTTTTTTTTTTTTTTTTTTTTTTTATTTTTAACAAAATTGCTTTTGTAATGGATCATGAAATCCATATATAAATGCAATATTTTTTATAATATTTTAATTATGGGCATCTTTGATTTGTTACCTGCTTAGTTAATTGACTTCATTGTGGGATCATTAAAGTGTTGTAAATAAATGGGCTAAATTATATTTAGCTGGATGTTTTGCTTTGTACTATAACGTGTCTTGTGTAAAGAAAAAAAGTGTATCTGGTCAAGTTGCTGAATGATACTTCATTATGGAAGTCCTTACATTAGATAATATCTGGGGCATTTACTTGAAATAATTTGATCGGTTAAAAAAAGAATTAAAATTGGCTGATCAAAACAACAAAAATACTGGTACTATTAATGGAACATGTTCATAGGTAATGTAAGAAATTATATGTGCGATCACTCCTGTGGACACGTGTGTGTGTGTGTGAACTTCATGCATCCACTAAAATTCACTGCCACATTAATAGCCATATAAAAGTAACTAAAAAAAATACATTACCATTTTGATATGAATTAAATGACATTCAAACATTTTATTCCACATTGCTGCAATTTTAAGAGTGCACTTGTTCACACCTTGCTCACAAATACTGTATGTATTGTTCGGAATGACTGAAAGGTACTGTATCCATTCTCAGCTGCTGAGACAGATTCTTGAGTCCAGGCTGAAGATCACACTGGCCCCACACTTAAACAAGCTCAAACTCACAGCTTCGCAGTTCTGGAAGGGCATCCTTCACACAAATGGGCTACAGAGAGAGAGAGGGAAAAATAATAATCATAATATATGATAATTGTGTTGGAATACAATATATGCTTTGATATTGTGATCTTAGTTAGGAAGAAGCTGTGGTAGGATCAGGACAGTTTATGGTTTGTTTTGAAAAAGCTGACAATTTTTTAAGACTGAACTTAGAGTAGGCTATGAATATATGATGTATAACATTTCGATTCGTTACGAATAGATGCAGAGACAAATAAGCTACTGTAGTAATCTTACCATGTTTTTGAGGAAGTTGCGTGGGAAATGTGTTTCTGGCAGGGCATTGATGTCTGTCAGTTCGTCGATGGGCTCTAGTTCTGGTTCTGACCTTCTGATCCCGGACAGGAGTCCTGAAGCTCTGCCCACGGAGTAGTAACTCGGTCTCGCCGCTTGTTTGTACCAGGCGTCCACTGGACGACAAACTGCTAGTAAAGAAACGAGCAGAAGTATCAGTGTGAGTCTGTCAGATCTCTCCATAGCTGCTGATGTGTTGTTCCCTGAAGCTCTTCGGGCTCTGCTGTCTTCATCTGTTTGCAGTCGCTTATATATGGAGATCCCGTGGTCATGATTCATTGCTCGGTGGGTAGACCATAGAGAGCTTGCTTAGAGATGGACAGTCACGCTTTCTACATTTCAAAAGAAACAAGTAGGTTACTGTAGAGCCAGGGTTATTATAGTTAACCAAAATTAAATTATACAAAAATGCCATTACTTGAAATAAATGTTTACTGACACAAAAATATGAGAAATAAAAATAAAATAAAATATGAAAACCATTTTATTTAAACTAGTCGACAAGGCAACAGTTCTCATTTTCATTTAGTTTAACTTGATATACAAATAAATAAAACTAAAATAAAAATTAAAGACATATTTTAAAATAACCCAAACTAATAAAAATGCTAAAAACACACAACACGAAAACTGCAACTAAAATTAAAATGAAAGTAGAAAATATAAAAACAAAATCTATTTCAAAATATTAATAAAAACTATCATAGTATCTCAAATAACACAGTGTGCAGAGCATAACCTTATTCATGCCAATTGATATTCCACTTATTTTTCCCTCTTATTTATCCGAATTGTCTATCTAATCCTAGCAGATGACTAGAATTGCTGTCAGGTTACTATGAGAGTCTCACACAAAATTTGATCCGGTTAGATAGCCATTAATATAAATGTAAATGTTATCCAAAGATTAGATATAGCTACTACTTCTGCCTTTTTGTGTAGGCTACATCATGTGAACAAATAAACTTCTAAAAATGTAATTATCTCCTGTTAAATAAACCAGAAGGATAAACAGTTCAGTATTCAGAATGGTTCGGCATAAACGTTTAATTTGAATGCTTTCTGCAAGAAAAAATGAATAAACAATGCATAAAAGGCGCATCGATTCACGCATCCGGTATTTGAATCATTTTCACCATTACAGGTGAATTAACGCCAACTGGTGGCAAAATTTAACAGTGCGCTTCGTCCGTATTAACAAAAGGTCAAATTGAAGTGGTTAACATCTTGATGGTATTATGTGTTTTGTCCTCCATTGAATGTTGTACAAAGTCAAATATACCAGGGATAAGCTCACCTGTTATGTGTGCCCATATTTCTATATAATAATATATGTGTAAATAGTATTTTTTCCTTCTTTTTCTTGGCATTAATATGAGCACTATGTTGTGGATTTGGCCTTTATTTTTATTTTATATATTGTAGTGAGTGGGTGGGTGGGTGGGGGGTGACAGGCATTATGAAATAGCCTTTAGTTACAATTACTATTTTGAGTCCTTTAGTGCTAATCCTTGAATTTGAATTCCTCATCCCAGACTGGTAGGTAACCTTGAGGATGAGCTAGCAGGACCTGACCTGAGAAGTCACAGTCTACACACTGTTGCCATGTGTCAGTCAGTGGGTCAGCCATTTCACAAGCTCCATGGTAAAGTCCATATAAAATAGCTACAAAGAGGAAACTGGTAAAAAAAAAAAAAGGTCCTGAAATTGTTAATTGGCACCAGTATCACCTATCGAAGCTCGACTATAGCATTGCCATCTTTTCTATTTTCTCAAATCTGTTTCTTCTCTCTTTCCTTTTGCAATATACAGAGGAAAAAAGTTTGTCAGCTCTGCATTTAGCATTGATTTCTGAATCAGCTGGTCATAATATTTTATCTTATCTTCAGCTAAGGCAAAACAGTAACAAACACATAACAACTAGTGTTATTGAACACTTTGTGTATTATCATTCACAGTGTAGGGTGAAAAAAGTAAGAGTAATGTCTTCTCCAAAAGGAATCAGTCCAGCGCTACTTGTGAGTGTTTAATGTCGACAAAGTCCAAAACATAGCTTTAAAAAGGAGAAGGTACCCTATCCATTCCATATCTGCTATTTTTATTCTTCACCCTTTTGTTGCATTTGCAATATTGTATTTTCCATTGGCACTGTTGCCACGATCGGCTGCAACCTTTTTTCTTTCTTTTTTGTGAGAAATCTTGAATATAGTCTGGTTCTGATACCAGTCCACATTATTCCCTTGGACTGAGTCTTCAACCTAAACTTAGTTGAGAGATCTACTGTTTCTTTATTTCATATTTCTGTTCATCTTCCTGTGATTCCAGCTTGCAAAGCTTAAAGTACCATGTTTTGGTGCACTTTCTCGCAACACTTCCCACAATGATTAACTGTTGGTGTGTAGACATTGAGTAGTCCAGATGAACACATATGCTAGTGCAATGTTGTCACATGCATTTTCAAAATTTTTCTGAATGTGACAGAAAGTACAAAAATGTTGAAACAGTTTTACACCAGCTTTTAGCCTTTCCCACTCCTGATTGGATCAAACAGGGCCCTGCTGGAGTCCAACAATACAATGAAATTGGAGATGTTGGTCAAAGCTGCACTACCCTATAAAAAACACTGACAGTGTCTGAGTTATCTATTCACAAGAAGTACTGCCTGATGTGAAGCATGCCTCGAACAAAAGAAATCTCAGAACATGAAAGACTTGTTGAGTTGCATTTATGCAAAGGGTTAAATAAGTATTTCTGAAGGCCTTGAGGTTCATCGGTCCACAGAAAGACAGCTATAAACGGGAAAAGTAGCTACTTTCCTTAGGATTGTGTGTCCAGCAAAGATGACTGGAAGAGCTCAGTGATCCGAGATCAGAATCCTAAAGTGTCAGCTAAAGAGATACAAAAATGGAACATGCTCCATAATGTCTCTATTGATGTGTCTATATGATTTGTAAAACATAAAGAAAAAAAAAGAAAAAATAAAGTTAATGGTTGGTCACCATGGTGGAAGTCACTGCTGTCCAAAAAACAAATAAGTTTGCAAAATAGCACTTGGATGTTCTGGAGAAATACTGGCAAATTATAAATGTATGTATATATGTAAATTATTATACATTATATACAAAATAGTTTTGGGTTGTTTTACTCCCTGAGGGTTTGGACAGCTTTCTATCATTGATTTAAAAATGAATTTCCAGGTTTATCAGAACATTTTGCCAGAAAATTTACAATAGCAACCCTAAATACAGAAGTAAATCAATGACAGGAAGATTCCAATTGTCTCATCTCCTGACTGATGTTCTCTGCAACTCACCAAAACTGCTTTATTGAACAAAATCCAACATAGTATCTGATAATACAGCAGTCTGTCATACGTCACTTCTGTAGTGCAACTGCTGGTTTGTTCCTTGGGTGAACTGAGCTCCCAAGCACAACTCAACAGTGCTAAACATTTTGGAGTTGACCTGGTGATCTTTTCAAGTAAGTCCACTATCATAAATTTCACTATATTTTATGATATAAGAGAAGCACTGGCCCTGAAGGGGTCAAAGGAATGAAACGCTTAACAGGAATCTAGAAGTCACATGAAAAAGCATGTACATACTTGTGATACTTAGGAACAAATAAAATGGCTGTCAATAAATCTTATCTGATAGACTGTAGAAGACACACCTTTAAACACACAACAATCATCTGTAAAACGAGTTGTTTGGCTTATGAAGTAACAAGTGCTATGAAGTCAGATTTATAGTTAGTGACCAGCAGCACAGTTTGCAACAATGCAAATAAAATTGCTTCAAGCAGGGGGCAGAATGAGCATTCAGAGCAGTGAAGGCATCTTGAAAAAAATCACAGTTTATGGAAGAAGGGTCAAGACAGGCACATATGAATTAAAGAGCCTCAAGGGATGTGCTGACAGAAGAAATATGAATATGTGATAATGATTTAGGCCTACTTTCCTTTAGCTACATTAAGTGCCTTTATTAAGTTATTAT